GCGATTGAAATCCTTATATTCAACAAACTCATCACAACAAGAAACGTTAAATCCAAATACAGCATAAATAAGGGAATGATGAGAAATAGAACATGCTTGTATTTGATCAGAAAATTGAATAATAGAATTATCATTAGTTAACCAAAAATCCAGTAAAGAAGATGAACCTTGAGCAACTGCAAAATGAGTAGGTTTTGAGTTATGAAATATTGAAAGGTTACATCGCAAACACATGGATCTAAGTAGATAGGCCCTAGAAATGTCGAAGAGGTTACAATTGAAATCTCCTACTATAATCATATTTGAATACATTAGAAATAAATCATAATGAGAGTTTTCAAATTCAAGAATATCTCCATGGGGGAGATAAACAACTCCAAATAAAGTTTTAACTCCCCTAAAGCAAAGCTCAATAAATAACGATTCACAACCATTAAGAGAAATCTTCCTAACAACTTTGTACTTTAGCCCACTGGTTAGGTAAATACACACACCACCACCCCTATTATGCAGTCGATCATTTCTAATCAATTTATAACCAGGTATCTGCACAGAGGCATCAGAAATATGAGGTTTTAACCATGTTTCGGATTTTGTGATAATCTTTAAAAATTTACATTGAATTTAATTTTTGCGTAATATAAAAATCAGCTATTTTACATAGTTTACAATAAACAACAAAAGTGTGCTCACACTTTCTATAAAAAATTATAATTAATTAAATTCTAATTATTTTACAATTGATTTTATTATTAATAATTTCTTTTTTCTTTATTATATGATTATATTTTTTACGTATAAATTTTATTAAGTAGAAATTTGTAACCGATTATGGACAATAGGCTGGGTTTATTTTAGAAATAAATTAAATTAAAAAAAGTCGCTGTAAATATAAAAGTTAATACCCTATTATATTTACACCGACTTTTTTATATATACTGACAAGAGTGAAAACCGCTATAGTTATAGTTTATGCAGAACTTAAAAAATAATTCAATATTTTGTACACATATAAAAATATATTTAATTTAAACATCGTTTTTTTTAAATTAATTTAATAAATAAAAAAATTTTAAAAAATTTCTTTGGTCTGTTTTGCACTTTTATGAAAATTTGTGGAATTTGATTTTAATTTATCATTTTCGCTATAACTTTGGAATAAAAAAGACGGTTTTCAAATTTAGCTGGCCAAAACCCCAAAAAATAATTTAAATCAAGTAAGAAGTGTGTATTCGACTTTGCCGAATCTTATACATATACCCTTCACCATTCACCATAGTATGTTTAAAAAATACTAATTTTATAAAATTTAAATTTACTTAATTTTTCCGACTATCATTACATTAGCAATAGCAAAACAAAAGAAACAACAACAACGTTAAACGAAATAAAACACAGAAAAAACAAAATGCACAACGCAATGAAACCACAGACATCCAAACGTATGAAACAAAATACACGACGTAATGAAACTAACATACATCCAAACATACGAAACAAAATACACAAAAGAAAACCAAAATATACAACGCAATCAATAGCATTCAAACATAAGAAAAAAATACACAAAGAAACAAAAACAAAATACACAACGCAATGAAACCAACAGACATCCAAACATACATCTTTACCCAATAAGCAGTGTTGTTGTTGCTTATTTATCAAAGCATGCAAAAAATTTTCTTTTTTTGATAAAATTTTCAGATGTCTCGGATTTTTGCTTATATTACCGTTATTAATGGACGGGTTTTGCTGATTTTAAATAGGAAACTTCTCGAAAGCATGTCTGACAGAATTATTAAAGATTTGGATACCAAAGATATCTAGGGTCTTTAGAAAATTGATTTCAACACACAGACAGACGGACAGGCAGGCAGAAGGACATGGCTGAATCGACTCCGCTATCTATAAGGATTCAGAATATATGTATATACTTTATAGGGTCGGAAAATTATACTTTGGAAATTACAAACGGAATGACAAACTTATATGTATATACCCTTCTCACGAAGGTGAAGGGTATAATAAAAATATAATAACAAAAACCACAACATGCAACTACCCATCCTTATTTTTCAATCATCTTTCCCACTATAAAGAACTCAACATAAATTATGTCCCACCCAAATATACTACAAATGCAAAAAACATCAAACTCATATCTTTAGCCGTCTCCGTCTTGGGCACACTACTGCTACACATAACTATATCCTTCGAAATGTACCAGCTCCCTCCTGCAACAAAATGTGGTCTTCTCAATACCAATCGTATCCTTTCTGAATATGCCTATTGGAAACAATCACCTCAATAAACTGTTAGAAATACCAAATAATCTGTTATTTTAATAAACAAATTGATATAATCATTTGATCCTTCATCATTACTCTTCTTCATCATATACCTTAATATAATACAAAATGTATAAATGTAATAATAATGTAATTGTTCTATATATACTATATATATATATATTCATGAAAGAGCTGCTTCTAAATTTTTGCATTAGAATCTGCAATTTATTTACATAAAAGTCTAATAAATATATTATAACCACTAGTTCAACATCTGAAAATCTTCATCGGATTAATCTAGATGATAAATAGAGAAAAAGAACTTGTTATTAGAAAAAATTAAATCTTCACTGTTTAAACATTTTTAAATAGAATTTAAATAAATTATATGTAAAAAGAAAGAAACAACTTTTTAAGATATTTTAGTATTACGCACCCAAATTTTAAAGATTCTAATTTGAAAAAATTTGGAAACAATTTAAATTCCTTATAAGAAATATATGTAATTGGTTATTTCTGCTTGAATGTCAACAATTTTACAATTGATTTATAAAAAGTAATAATAACACAAGCTTACAAATTTTTGCTTTTTGTCTGCTTATGGATTGAAACATATGTATATTTTTGGAATGGGCTATCTATGTCCGATAGTGAATTAACACTATTTATTTTATTTTTTTTTTTCGTCGAAATTTTGAGATAAAGAGGTTTTTATTAAGCGTTTTTCTTCAGTAGTGCAGGAAAAATATTTTAAAGTGAGTATTGAATTTTAGGTGCTTGCACCTGGAATAGGACTCTCTCAACCCACTATTTATAATTTTTTGTTTTTCTTGGTTCTTTTTTATGCGATTTTTAGTAAAATAAAAAAGGGGGTCAATAAAGGACCATTTTGGGACATTACTAGTGATTCGTTTTTTCGTTAAATATATATTACATGCTTGAGAGGAGAATTCAAAATTCTGAGACAAATTATTTTATTAATTAATCCATATTGTAATACAAAAGCCACCCAGGCCAAAAAACACGTATTACTCATTATAATTCATAAAAAAAACTTCAACTAACAAGCTGCTACCTTTCTCTTATGGGAATTTACACACAAAAAAGTTAGCATCTGATAGCAGTTCGTTTTTCATTATGAATAAGCCCGTTAGATATAAAAATTTAAGAACTTATAAAAATATACATATCTAGCATATAATGTAATCTAGAATGGAATACCTTATCAAAACTTTAGAAAAATCTTCTGATATTAATATAACATTCTTCGGATTCGGCTGTCTAAAAACTGTCTAATAGAATCAGTCAAAGAAGTAAACGTCAGAATCCAAATTGTGAAGGCTGACCTGGTTCTAGATGCTCAAACATTTTGTACTTTAATATTTATTAATTTCTAAAAAATATTATGAATTTTTCACTGCATGCACTATCTACTCTTTCGTAATCATAGGATCTACAATAATATTCGGTGTGCTGTTTTAGGAACAACCCTGAAAAGTGCAGACGGCCTTCGACCTGGTGCAGTGATTTCTATGTAGGAGTGTATCGAATACCGGCTTTGATAAAAATGCCGTTTCTGGTTACTGCTTTATATGATTAAAAAAAAAAAAAAAACAGAACAAAAATAGATCCCTGAACCAGGATTCTTCTCCTCTGGAGTGTATCGAACACGGGCTGCGCTAAAAATTCCTTTTCTGCATACAAAAATGTTACTGTTTTATATGTAAAAACTACAACTTCGAAGTCAATAACTCTGAAAATAGAAGAGCTCAGACGAAAATGTTTACGCCTAGACTTATTATTAAAAAAAATTTTAAATGTAAGGTGGTTTAGGCTATATGTTTATATGTTAACAAGTAAAAATTTGAGGTCCCATAACTCTTTCAGGGATCTGGGTTTATTACACAAAATGGAAATACAAAATCAATATAAGTACCCCAATAATTTGCTGTCCTTATAAAAAAATAAAATACATATACCAATTAAAATAGAGATAAATTCTACTTTATTAGAGATAGGAATAAAGTAGTACTTATCGGATTCATTTTTAGTTATTTTTCCAATCAGATTAATCACTATTAGATAGAATCTTAATTTCTAGCCTACTAACACAATAAAAGATTTTGGATTTTATATACTATACGCAATGTATGATGGTAAGACTTTTATTTATTTATTTTTTGTAGTCGTTGTGGTTCGTTTAGGATTTGATAGGATTATTTTTCATCTGCCGTATTTTTATTAATAATTGCAACAAGATTTTAGCAAGAAATTCAAATCTAAATCTATAATCACAAAAAATCAGTTGTCACAAACTTTTTCGTTAAGGATTGAAACATAAAAAAAAAAATAATGAAGTCACATTATATTCTTCAGAACCAAAGATTGTATTTGCGTATGGCAACACAAAGTTGCCATACGCCAATGATAGATTATTGTTATTCATTAAATTTTTAATATTCAATTCTTACTTTTATTAATTATTCAATTAGAAAAAAACGCTGTTTTTAGGGAACAAATCACACAGTTTTTGATACAAATGTGTGCAATGGCACAATTAAATTATATCTGCACAGAAGAATTTCGCGTCATTAACACTTAAAAACGAACATACACAGACACTTGCTACACACATTTTCATTTTTTATATATAAAAATATAACATTCTGAACTTATGTGGTTATATCCCCAAAAAGTACTTGTACTTACGCAAACGACGTATACAATCCAAATTATCTACTTTTAATAGGGCATAAAACTCCCAATATTTGTTTTTTATATTTTTTAATATTCAGTAACAATATCGCTTTTTGTTTTAAGGCAAATAATATTTACCGATTAATATAACTTTGGATATAAAATATTTTTTTAAGCAAAAATGTCACGCAACGAGGTGTGCCTTGTTAAGCTCTTCGGAAAGAACGACTACAAAACAGTGATATCAACATCTTCTACGAAAAAATCGTTTATTTGATAATAGTATTTTAACAACCCTGTTTATATTTTAACAACTCTGTCTACATAAGCATGGAAAATAATAAAACGTATTATTAAGTATAACCTATATTTTTTTTGATAAGGAGTTTGATAGAAGATATAATAATTAAAAAAATGTGGTTTTTCCTATTCAATCTCATAAATCTGACTAAATTAAAACATATTTAATGTAACACCTTGTGAAAAGTAAAAGAGTTGCCACACCATTAACACGCATATAAATACTTGACACGTTAGTAAAAGTAAATATCATCCCTACAAGAAACCCAGCAGTTCGGGCGGACAGTCCCGAACTCCCTATTTAGCCTACCACATAGGATTACCCCTAGCCACCGACTGTCCAGGTGAATAGCTATTTTAACATGTGCTTGTCCTACGAGGAAGTCAATCGTCACCCCATAGGTTACAAAAAGACAGAAAAGTGTTTTTTAAGTGTCCCCTCTCTCGCTTACAAAGGGGACACTAAAGTGACGATTACCTTCACCCTCGTTTACAAAGAGTACATCCGTGACGAAAGACGAATTAGAGCCCACCAGGTGGTTTAACATAAGTGGAAATCACTGTCTTTTTCCTATGCATTGACTCTTTGTCGAACTGCAGGGAATGTATGACCGAAATTAATACATACAGAATGGTTTTACTAACAATAAAATTGCTAAAAAAAATAGTTAATGGATAATTGCATCAATAATGACAGTCAAATGATTGTTGATGTACCCAATGTGTGATAAAGGGTTTCATTTGCATATGAAAGAGTGAAACAAGTACATTTTAATTAATATATATTAAAATCTATATTCCCATCAACAATAACAGCCAAATGACTGTCACTGTGTTTCAGAGTTGTATTTTCCGTCGTTATAAATTCATTGTTTCTGCGAAAAATTAAAAAATTTACAAAGTCTATAAATTATTAAAATAAAAAGAATTATTATAAACTGAATTTAAAAAAAGTGCAGAAAGTGGAGCTGAAGATAAACATTTTGGAGTTTAATCAATCTATGGTAACATGAATACTTACTTTTGATTTTTATATTTCGATATTTATATGTATTTCTTTGCAGACAACTTATTTCCACAAATTAAGCGGAGAATCAGAGGATTTAAGATTCTGCGAGGCATGTAAAATGGTGAAATGATTGTTAATTTATGTATATACGTACTATATTAATAAAATTAAAAAATATATATCTTAAAATATTAATAAATTGTGTTTTGTTATAAATTGGTATAGCCGTCAGTTTTGACGGATATATTCATCAAGTATGTTTAGTCAACAATGACCGATTAATACATCATTTCTTATTTGTTAACTGTGATGCATATATCCATCAAGCATGATGAGTCAACCGTGACTAATATTTATATCATCCTTGATTAGTAAACAGCAAAAGAGTGAGCAGCTCAATATATGTTTTAAAATCAATAGAATTCATAAGTGCAAGGGAGAAGCAAGATCACAAAAATTTTCATCAAGTTTTTCATATTGCACTTAAGAACCTGATAGAAACTTTGTTCTACGCAATGATCGATATTTCCTTCACTAGTGTCAGTCAAATGACCGGTAAAATGACTGTCACCAGTGTACACTTAATAAGGTAGCCTCGACACTACCACAAATACAACAATACAAAAACAACAGTGAAATAATACCATCTATCAAAATAAACTGCATGCGGAGAATGAAGAAGCAACAAATAAACACAATAAAAATATGAGTTTTTAGCAAATATTTTAAATTTTAACTATTAATATTAATATATTAAATTAATTAAACGTGGAATGTCTGAAAATCATAACTATAACTATTGGGAAGACAAATTTTGCGTATAAAATATGCTTTTTGTGAAAAGTAATTGGTCGTGCTAAAAATTGTTGAATCTGATTTGAAACGTATGCCGTATGCAAAAGATTTTTTTATTTTATCAAGGAGGAGGACAACAAAGACATTTAATCATAATTGACCCAGAAAACTTATTTAAAAACATATTTTTTTTCACTTTTTAAAAAATTTTAAAACTTTTGCGATTTTTTCTTAATGTAAACAAACTGGAATTTTGACAGATAAGATTGTAACAGCTGATGATCAACTGTGTGGACGAGGCTACCTTATTAATTGTATCATAACTGTCACTGTTCTTGTAGGGATGGCATAAATAAAATGGTGGCTGCGATAAAGCAGCTGATTATTATTTATTTGTGTAGAGCAACGGTGGCCACCCAGCAGTCCGACAAAGAGTCAATGCATACGTTAAAGACAGTCATTTACACTAATGTGTAACCACATGGTTGACCCTAATTTCTATATATTGGGTTATTCGTCACATTCGTCACCTTACTGTACCCTAGGTAAACGAGTGAGGGGACACTTAAAAATTGTTTTTTTTTTTTTTCATTGTGCTTAAAAATGTAGGTATTTTACACATCTATTGGAGACACAATTGTTATTTTCCACTAAAGTATAACCAGCTGGTTGTACCCTATTTCAATGTTTTTGGTCATTCATCACGAATGTACTCTTCGTAATCGAGAGCGAAGACAGTCGCCACTTTACTGTACACCAAGAAAGCAAGAGAGTGGCAATCGTGGCACTTGAAAAAACTTAAGAATTGAAGGTGAAGAGAAAAAGAATAAACATGATAAGTTTTGTCTGAGTGCAAAGACAATGAACAGTTATACTACTACTACATCAATTTTTAAGCTATTTTATTTTTATGTTAGTTGATTTTAATAAGTTGTTTAAGACAGTATGTAAATAAGAAAATGTTTTTTTAATTTAATTAAAAAAATAGTCAAATTTAAATAAGAAATATTTACAATTTGGAAGACTGAATTCATTTAAGATGAGTTAAAACAAAAAACTTTAGCAGAGATTACGAAAAAAGTAATCTTTCTTTAATATAACAAATTATATTCTTATTTAAAAGTCCGATTTTACTGAAGATACAAATGAGCAGCAATATTAAAAATATTTATTTCAATATCTATTTAATCTAGAAATAAAAGTATATTTTAAGTGTTTTTTTTTATATTTCATTAGTTTTTAAAGTTAAGGCCCAATAATGTGCATAAACCAGCTTAAGGTAATGTCAAAACCGAACGAAAAGTCTCTCAAGTGATTAAGAAAACTCGAAGAAACTTTTAGGTGACTACAATATACTTACATGCATTCCAAGCAATTTAGCTCCATTTTCACATTTATATACCACACGTAATAACAAAAATACATATTTCATAATATTTTATCGAAATAAATTAATTTTCTTGTAAATTTTATTTTTTTTTTCTTTATTTTCTTTGTGAATAATAAACCAAAAATTGATTCTATACGGAATGTGCTTTCAGTATCGCTCTTTGCTTAAGCAAATAAAATTTAACGAAAATTGACGAAACTCTCTTAAGTACATTATAGTTTGTCACATACGTTTCATATGTATTCGCTCAGTTGCTTAAGGTGACTTCAGCTTGTGTAAGCATATTATAGTTAGGCCTTTATACTTCGGTGGACCGGTTATTTAACCCTACTGCAATACCTGTCCATTGGACAAGCTACTTGGGGACACATGACTTTCCCCTAGGACACGTCAATAGCTGGTAAAGTAACTAGTAATAGAGCTAGTAATGTGACTGACTCCCAAGAACCCATTTGGAGATTGACTACCTTTTGACAGTATCATTGTAGACTGTAGAGTGACGATTGACTTCCTCGTAGGACAAGCCCATGTTAAAATGTTTGGTCACCTGGGTAGTCGGGTGGCTAGGGGCCACCATAAGTAGTATGTCAAGTGGTTAGTTCGGGACTGTCCCGTCGAACTGCTGGGCAGAAAGAGAGTGTTTGAAACGCATATGTGTAGTGTAAAATACAAAAGAAAATATGTGTGATTTGCACTGAAAAAAAATTGTATGGTTGTACTTATTTGTGTTATTCATATCATTTGTATTATAAATGAATAATGGTAGGAATTAATGTGTCGATGTATGTATGTGCTAATGAAAGTATGTTTGTTTGTCTAATAAATCTGTCAAAAGTATTCAGGGGCATGTTTGGCCACCGTTGGTGTAGAGCAAAGTATATTAATAAAGTAACATCACTTGAACAGCTGACTATTTGTTTTAAACTAGATAAATTAAGAAGTTGTCAAAGTTTATTTTGAAAATTATCATTGTTTATGTCGCCATTTTTAAGTTATGTTTAGCTATTTGTGAAAAGTTGAAAAAGTGAATGAAAAGTGGTTTAAAAGTGTTATAAATTATATAATATATAAAAATATAACTATATCCTTATTTAAGTTTTCTTCCCATTGTTGCTGAAAGAAATTTTTGTTAAATTTTATAAACAGAAACCATATGATTTTGACACAATTTTAAATTATTCCAAAAACAAAATACATGCGGTTGTTGTAGATGTTGTTGTACAACAAGAGATGTCGCTACTTTTTTAATATACTTTGGTGTAGAGTAGGATTCTATAAATCGATTCTATAAATCATCTTTTTTGATACCCGTTAATAAAACAACCTTTTGATAAAACAACAAACACTAACAGCTGTTTTTGATTGTTGTGTGGTGAGTTTCTGTAAAAACGTAAACAAAAACAAATTACTAGACAAATTTATTTTGTGCTAAGAAAAATTTATGTATTTTAATAATGTTTATAGCCAGTGCCAGTGTTCTTGGTGTACACCACCTACCCCAATAATAAATCCGTTTGTTTTAGAATCAAGCCTTGTCAAAAACTCCATATATAATGTGCAATTCATTCTATATTCCAAGACTGATTGATAAAGTCACAGAATCCATCGGAGATCAACATAAAAAAATGACAAAGTACATTGCAGGGCCCTGGTCAGGGTTGGTAAAAGTATCGCTCGTCATCACTATTTTATTTATATCGCTCGTATTAAAATTAAAAATCGCAAGTTTTAGTTTTTTCAACTC